TTTATTTTCAAGCTTGTAAGAGAATATTACAAACAATGGAGAGTAAAAAAAGCCCAAACCCTAAAAACTATTTAAAAAGTACTTGACAGTGTCCCTTTAATATCCACAAATGATTCAGCCATTGTGCATTGAAAGAGAATGTTCCTGAAGAGCAACCGGTACCTTGGAGAATATATCCCAGAGAAGGAGACTTATTAGAAGTGTTACATAGTCAATCAGCAACTGTGCTCCCTCTTCAGACTAACTTTCTTTTGGATGATTGAATGGAATAGACTCTGTAATAAACTAACAGACTGGATGTAAAAGGATCAGCCTACAAGACTGAGTGAGACTGTTGCAAGTCGAGCAGCAGGGATACAGACATCAAAAAAAATGTACATATCTAATGCAGAAGTGTCTGAATCAGCAAGGGAGCAGAGATCCACCAAAGATGGGTCAGCTTCTTGTGATTAGAGTAAAATGGAAGGAAATTAACCTGGAATGTCTGCATGGAAAATGATGTGTGTGAGTGGCAAGATTTGGATGCTGGATTTGGGGTTATGAAGGCATGAATCACATCAGTACTTGTGCTTGAAACACCTGCGGAACATTTGTACAAAATTTGCCAAAAATGTCTATACGTCAAATAAAGGTCATGGAGCACCCTCCCCCCTCCCAATTCTACCCTCCAAACCCCTTATCAGGAACATTATGAAAAAAACGGGATTTTTTTGGTGAAATTTGGGTATGCCTGGATTTTGTTAGATTTTCTTAGTGAGATGATTCAATCTCTCTGTAAATCAATACTGAAAAATCCCAAGCCATTTCACTTCAGGTACCCCATGGTAAATCAAACAAGGCTCCAGTGACTCATGAAACAAAACAACTCATAGCTCTGGTTAATCACAGTCTGGAAAATAAAAATACTCCAAATATTTTGTTCCCTTCCATATTTTTATAAATCTCACACCGTGTGTGTGTGCTTGTGTGCGCGTGCGTGTGTGTACGGGGGGAGTGTACAGAGTATTACCTATTCCAGGTAATAGGATTTGTAAGACATGCTAAACCGTCTGTTCCTCTGCTTCCCCAGAACTCTGCCTACTCAGTTTGTAGTCTGTATTGCACTTGTTTTGTTGGTTTTTTTGTGATTTGTGTTGGTTTTTTCTTGTTTTTTTCTTTTTTTTTTTTTTTTAAACAGGCTAGAAAACATCAACCTCTTTAGCATGAGTGTGCAGCTCTCCCTCCACCTGCTTTTTTCCTCAGCTGGCCAGGTGCCGCCTCTTATATCTTGTGCAGTTACTGAAAAAGAAAAGGAAGAAAAAAAAAGAAAAAAGAAAAGGAAAGAGAAAGAAAAAGGCACACCATGCTCCTCTGCTTTGTGAGTTCTTTGTCTCCTCCGCTTTGTGTTAAGGCCTCCTGAATTCCTCGGCTCAGACCGTCGTGACCCTCATGACGAGCTCTCTGTTACTACTAGACTGACTCCTCTGTTCGTGAGGCCTCAGGTGGCTGAGTATATGCAGGATGGTATAAGCACAGTGGTGGTCAGAGAGGGTGCCTGTGGCATGGCCGGCAGCCCTTGCCCCGCTGTCGGCTGCAGCGGAGTTAGTGGCTGTACCACCAGTGGAGGACGAGTGGGTGGTTTGGGAGGAGGGGCGCTGATTTGTCCTGGTCCCTGTTTTTTGTTCCTCCATGTCCTTTGTTTTGTCATAGTTCAGCACTTTCCACTGCTGATTGACCGCCTGCCACCGTTTAAAAATCCGGTAAACCGAGGGCCCTTCGTGTATTATTAGACCTGGAGGGAAGGGGGAAAGAAATAAACATAAAACAGAAACAAAACTTTAGAAGTAACCATAAACCTTCCCCAGTATCTTTCCCCAGATAGCTGGTTAAGCTCAGCTCTCCCTCAGCCAGTGTTTATTCAACGACAAATCATGTATTTTAATTACCGACAGGCACTGATGCTCCTCCTCTGCTGGATCCCTTTTCCCCTGAATTAAAAAGATTACAGTTTTACCTCAGCCATCGATAAACGGATCATAAATGCAGCACAGTGAGTTATACTCTTACAGCAAAACAGTGTGTGTTTACCAATAAAGGCCCGAGGTTTATCTGTTGCTGGACTAGTTCTGCATGCTGCATAGGCACGATTCACCGGGCTAACGGAGTGTTTGGAGGGGGTGTAACTGGATCTGACGCGTCAGTGACGACTGCTGCACCAGCGTCATGCGTGTTCACAGGCCGTGGCTCTCCCCACACACACATCAGCAGAGAGGATACATACGTGGACACAGGAGGCAGCAATCCAGAGAGAAAAGGGTCTGTCTATACCTGCAAATGGTTTGTTATTCTAGGCAAAGTTTTGCTCATCTGCAGAGCAGGTACCTCATTGTACATCGTTGCTTCCTTCCAAGGGGAACGCAGCATGCTTGACAGAAAGGTCAGATGATCTCACACTGAGTGTGCAGTGAGTGTGCATGTAGTGTGTGTGTCCTGCTGCCCACCCACATACACCAGGGCTGATGTCTGGGGATGGCACTGGGCTGTAGGACACCTGAATTCTAATGGTTTCTGTGTTTGAAAGAGAATGAGCCCTTCCACCCAGAAGTTACCTCATCTCTTCAGCTGTCTCCTCCTCCTTATCCTCCCCACCCTTGCGAGAGGACTAAGGAATTAAATAATTTTAGCTGTTTAGATGATAACAGTACTTCAGTATTAAGCTCTGTTATTATTCAATTTGCCAGGCTCTGGCTAGACCCTTTGGAAGCACTAGGGCCAACAGTGGCTGCAAGACTGAGATGCTCTTCTCCACTGAGGCTAGAGGAAGCTGCAACATCTCACACAGACTGGCTCAGCTGGCACACCATAATATATCTCGCAAGCTTTGCTAGAGCATGGGATTTAGGTGGAATTGGGGGGATCCGAATTCCTGTTTTGCAGCCACCTTTCTCTTAGGAAAGTGCCTTTGTGCCTCATGTGACTGAAGCCAGACCAGCAGGCAGGACTGCGTGAGTTATCACATGGATAGCTTCATTGTTCTTATTCACAATGGCTTCACCATTCTTGGTCAAGATCAAGATTATCAGAAACATTTCTAGGAAGAGTAGCTCTCTTGTCTGCCTATTGCAAGCATATAACTACAAGAACAAAAGACCCACAAGAAATAAGAATCAAAATAACTCCTAAACAAAGGGGTTGACTTGAGCAGCAAGGTGTGAAGAGATGATGGCCACCACAAAATAAAGTGGTTTATGGCTATTCCTGATGAATTGAATGCTACAGCTTTACCCACCACCTATCTTTTCCAGATTGTTCTAGTTTCTGATGGCAGATAATTACTGTCGTAAACCTGTGCTACATCAAAACCCAAAGTATCTGAAGGCCATGTTACCCTTAGGGCTGATCTCCACCTTACTCAGTGATGGGATGCTGCCACCCAGTTTCTTAGGGTCTGCGTCTGATGTTACAGAGTTTAAACCAAGGCTTCAGTACATAAATTGAGTTTCTAGCCTCCCCAGTTTAAATTATAACTAGGAGCCTTGCTGATTGATCACAAATTAGCTTCAGGGGGCCTCTCACACTCATTGTATTGGGGTGCTGAGCCTACTCAGTGGCTGAAGAAGTAATTATGTTGGATAGTTTAAGTATGCAGATCTGACCATTTGGGGACAGTGAATGGCATAGGGTGCTACAGTATGGGAGAGCTCTTCCTTCTGGTTCCCACAGGCCACTGAGATTGCTCAGCTGTAATCCTGCAGTGGTGCTGGCTTTTCATAACCAAACACCATGATGACATAATAGAAAAATGTCATTTTTCCTCCCTTTGAAACATGGTTGAGAATTCTGACGTGGTCTGATCAAAGCACCAACCATAAAGAGCAGGACTTAGGGAAAGCCTGCATATCCAGCCAGGGAGACCGAGCTTTGAAGCAGGCCTAAAGTGGATCAGCCCATGACAAGGGACATTAGACATATATTTAAATGAGCTGTCTGATCTGTAATGAATGAAATTCCACTCTGATCAATGACACAGTCAGTGTTTCTCAGAGACCACTTTAAGCCTGGGATAAAAGAGCCCAAATCGAATGTTTTCTCTTTGGCTGTAGAACATTCTCCATAGTATCAAATCCATTCTCTGAAGTATTAAATACTGAGCCAGGATTGTAAATCTATTCTTAATTACCTTATCACAAATATTTAATGCGCAGCCTGATTCAAGAGGGCTGTTTATAAAATTCTTGTTTGTTTGCCTTCTAATTATAAATGTTTATGATCTTATGCAATTAACTGTGTGATGCTGATGGATGGGTTGCTGAGTCAACTGAGCACCTGTTTTCTTAGATAATTTTGGTTTCCAAATATTTAGAAAAGTACAAAATAACTTGTTTTCATCTGTATTTACTGGGCTCTAAATTACTTATCGATTTCCCAATGTCAAGCTCAGGAAGCTGTAAAATTAAGAAGGAACCAAGTGGAGGGGTGGGCAGGGAGGCAGAAGTAACAGTGATTCATTTTCAAGAGTAAATGCCAAGAGTAAGCAAGAGTCTATCAATTTATATCAAGCTGCAGGACAGTTAATGCTCCCATTGAAACATATTTTGCCTGCCTGAGATAAACTAGGATTGGAATTCCTACATTCAGCTCTATGTGTCCCCTAACAACAACTTCCCTTCTTCAATTATTGTTTGCATAGGTGATACTTTCAAATTGAAGGTCAAAGTTAAGTGGGAAATCCTTCAGGAAGAACTGTTCAACTAGAGGTGTCTAGCTATAAGCAATTACTCCATTAGCCAAATCCTGTGTGTGTAAGATTGCAGGTTGGTGTGAACTTCCCTCTGTGCAGTTCTCTCTTTTCAACATAGAAATATCTAATGAGAGTTTCAGATGGATTCTGGTAGTGGCCTGGTCCTTTTCCACTCCTCTCCAGTTTATCTCACCCTCTTCTGCTTTGCAAAATCTGCTCTCAATGGATCCTCTGTGAAAACCATCCTCTTTGGAGGGAAAATCTCTTGTGGGTATTACACAAAACTTGTTGGCCCAGATTGCTGCCTGGTTCACCATATGCCTAGTTTGTGATTCTGATGAAATTAAATTCCCATGGCATGTGGACACTGGCAATGTGCTGTTCTCATTCCCACTTTAACATGTAGAGACCTGGCTGGACCAGCATTAGGCAAAATTCCTGGAGCTGAAAATTATTGAAATGTGGAATCTCTTGGGATTAGATGGGACAGAGGTGCATTTGGCTTGTGACAAGACTGATCAAGAAAAAGGTCCTCAGTCCAAGGGCTAGAAGGGCGGTGGAAGAACATTGGCAGATGTAACAAGGACAATTGTGTTTGTGTTTCTGGAGGGGGAAAGGGGAATCAGTTGGTGTACCACCATCCTGTGAGACTAAGCCAAGCAGTTGTGAGCCTCCAATTTAAGGTAACTTTGGAGCAGCAGTTTCTCAGAAATGACAAGCAGTGAAGATGGTCAACCTCTGCCACCAAGTGATCTTTTCATCAAGACTTTGAGCTTCTAATTAACCTTCCTCTTATTACAACACTTGCTGTGCATTTTCTTGAAAGAGACAGGCAAATTCTTGGGGCAGGAACTGTTTCACATGTTTGTCAGTAAAGAAACCACCAAAGCAAGGCTTCTGCTGACAGTAGGTGGTACATCACCCCTGCACTGCCACTCTTATTATCTACAGGAGGAAAAATCACAGTCCATTCCAGCCAGATGCCTTCTAAAAAATGCCCTGTCCTGCCACCTGAGCTGTTTTATCACAGGACTTTGCCCTTTTGTTTTCCTTTCCAAATGCAGTTTCATCTCAGCCAGACAGCTGCCATGCCTTAGCCTGTTTCTGTTGCTTTCATTACTGGGTGTCAGGGGAAGATTATGGCAGCTGTGAACAAAGCTTAATGTTTGCATCCACAGCAGTGGTGACTCAGGCCAAGGTAAACCAAGCTTTCTGGGAGATAATGCTTTCACTGCCAGGCTTTCTCTCCATTGACAGCATTGCATACACAAACTCTTCCCTCCCTTTCTGTGAATTCTTTAATCTTTTGTGACAATCTCAAATTCCTCCACTTTTGTTTCCAAAGCTCCAGCAGCTTAGCCCTCACTTACCACTTTGCCTTAATCTCATCCTATTTGCTCCATCCTTTTATCTTGACCTAAGAGCAGGAAAGTGGCTGATGTTAAACCAGGGAGACAGAGGGATCAGATCTCAGAAATATGAGTTGGGAAAGGGTTACCTAGTATCTGGTATCCCTCAACATTGTGGCCAGGTCAGTTCCAGCTGAATATGACAGGTTCTTTAAACAACCCAGTGTATTTAAAACCTCTTGTGGCTGCTACTCAAGTCTGCAGAGTTGTGCTCTTCAGGCAATGGGGAAGAAGATGAACCAAGGAGTGCTTCCAAGGGGAACTGTGCTGAGCCAAGAGGAGAGGTAGTTTTGTAGTTGAAAGTATTGTCATAGCACCAGTGGGACTCTGCACTTGGGATGATTTGGGAGATGTGAACCTCAGAGCTGGAATGGGGTAATGCCCTTCTCCTCACTCCTATCATCTCCAGAACCTCTTCATTTCATCACTCTTTTTCTGCCAGTGAACTCCCCAGGAGGGTACAGTCCCCAGAGCAAGAGGTGCAGAATCAGCATCGTACACCCCACCTGCTTTTTGATTCCCTGATGAAATAAACTGATATGCCACAGAATTGCTCTCTTCAGCAGTGTGACTGCCTGGTCCAGCTCATGTTTTGGATTCTGATACACTTTTCTAAGGGTAATGCTTTGCACTTCTCTTTAT